CAGGGAGAGTGGGAGAGGGAGAAGCAGGCTTCCCGCGGAGTAGGGAGCCTGACGTGGGGCTCGATCCCAGGACCCTGGGATCATGACCTGAGCTGAAGGCAGATGCTTAACTGACTGAGTCACCCAGGCGCCCCAGTATATGCATTTTATTTATTTATTTATTTATTTATTTATTTATTTATTTATTTATTTTTAAAGATTTTATTTATTTATTTGAGAGAGAGAATGAGAGAGAGAGAGAGAGAGAGCACGAGAGGGGGTTGGGTCAGAGGGAGAAGCAGACTCCCCGCTGAGCAGGGAGCCCAATGCGGGACTTGATCCCGGGACTCCAAGATCATGACCTGAGCCAAAGGCAGTTGCTTAACCAGCTGAGCCACCCAGGCGTCTAGTATATGCATTTTTAAAGACATGATGTTCTAATGTCAGAATTTCAGCATAGTGAGACAAGGCCTTCTTCATGTTTCTTAAAATTTTGACATGGGGATGGTCACTCATACTTATAAGGCTGATCATAATACTTTTTTTGTTAGGGCCAGGTAAATGTATTTTATAAATTCAGTGGCTCACTGCCATCCTGTATACAGAACTATTTTTGTTGTTTTTTTAAGTTTTTACTTGAATTCTAGTTAGTTAACATACAGTGTTATATTAGTTTCAAGTGTACAATGTAGTGATTCAACAATTCCATACATCACCTCGTGCTCACCACAAAAATTGCACTCCTTAACCAACATCACCTATTTAACCCATCCCCCCATATCCCTCCCCTGTGATAATCATCAGTTTGTTCTCTATAGTTAAGAGTCTGTTTCTTGGTTTGTTTCACTCTCTCTCTTTTTTTTCCCCTTTGCTCATTTGTTTTTTGTTTTTAATTCCACATATGAGTAAAATCTTATGGCATTTGTCTTTTTCTGATGACTCATTTTGCTTAGCATTATACTGTCTAACTCCATCCATGTCATTGCAAATGGCACAGTTTCATTCTTCTCTATGGCTGAATCATATTCCCTTGTATTTATACCACACCGTCTTTATCCATTTATCATATATGGACACTTGGGCTGCTTCCATAATTTGGCAATTAAATAATGCTGTTATAATCACAGGGATGCATGTATCCCTTTGAATCAGTGTTTTGTAATTTTTGGGTAAATACCCAGTAGTGCCATTGCTGGATTGTAGGGTAGCTCTATTTTTAACTTTTTAAGGAACCCCCATACTGTTTTCCAGAGCAGCTGCACCGGTTTGCATTCCCACCAACAGTGCAAGAGGGTTCTTTTTTCTCCACATCCTCACCAAAAACAATTGGTTTTTGTGTTGTTGATTTTAGCCATTCTGATAGGTGTGAGGTGATATCATAGTTTTGATTTGCATTTCCCGGATGGTAAGTGATGATGAGCATCTTTTCATGTATCTGTTGGCCATCTGGATGTCTTTGGAGAAATGGCTGTTCATGTTTTCTGCCCATTTTAACTGGATTTTTATTTTAGGGGTGTTAGAGTTTTTATAAGTTCTTTATATATTTTGGATCCTCACCCTTTATTGTATATATCATTTGCATATATCTTTTCCCATTCCTTACGATGCCTTTTAGATTTGTTGATTATTTCCTTTGCTGTGCAGAAGTTTATTTTTGTTTTTGTTTCCCTTGCCTCAGGAGACATATCTAGAAAAAAGTTGCTATGGCTGATGTGAAAGAGGTTACTGCCTATGTTCTCTTCTAGAATTTTTATGGTTTCAGGTCTCACATTTAGGTCTTTAATTCATTGAGTTTATTTTTGTGTACGGTGTAAGAAAGTAGTCCAGTTGCCTTCTTTTGCATGTTGCTCTCCAGTTTTCCCAACATCATTTGTTGAAGAGGTTGTCTTTTTTCCCACTGGATATTCTTTCTTGTTTGTTGAAGATCAATTGACTATATAGTTGTGGGTTCATTTCTGGGTTTTCTATTCTGTTCTATAGATCTATGTGTCTGTTTTTGTGTCAATACCATACTATGTTGATCACTACAGCTTTGTAATATAACTTGGAAGTCCAGATTTGTGATGCCTCCAGCTTTGCTTTTCTTTTTCAAGATTACTTTTGCTATTTGGGGTCTTTTGTGGTGCCATACAAATTTTAGGATTGTTTATTATAGTCTGTGAAAAATGCTGGTGATTTTTGATAGGGATTACATTAAATGTGCAGATTGCTTTGGGTAGTATAGACATTTTAATAATATTTGTTCTTCCAATCCATGAGCATGGAATGTCTTCCCATTTCTTTGTGTTGTCTTCAATTTCTTTCATCAGTGTTTTATAGTTTTCAGAGTACAGGTCTTTCATCTCTTTGGTTAGGTTTATTCCTAGTTATCTTATGGTTTTGGTGTAACTGTAAATGGGCTTGATTCCTTGATTTCTCTTTCTGCTGCTTCATTATTGGTGTATAGATATGCAACAGATTTCTGTATATTGACTTTGCATCCTACAACTTTACTGAATTTGTTTATCAGTTCTAGTAGATTTTTGGTGGAATCTTTAAGGTTTTCTATGTAGAGTATCATGTCAACTGCAAATAGTTTTACTTCTTCCTTACTGATTTAGATGCCTTTTATTTATTTTTGTTGTCTGATTGCTGTGTCTAGATTTTCCAGCAATATATTGAATAAAAGTGCTAAGAGTGGACATCCTTGTGTAGTTCCTGCTGGTCATAATATTTTATTAATTTTTGTGGCAATATTTTAGCTCAGTTAGGCCCATTATGTACCTTTCAAATAAAATTTAAATATATTTAGATTTTTCTTACTATTTTTATCTAAAACACAGTTAATTTAACAATAATTGTTTCTTAATATACTTCAGCAAAGTGAAATTTACTGGGGAGGACTGCTTAATAATATTATCCTTCCAGAATGTATAGTCTCAATATATGGATACTATATTTTATTTTGTGCCTAACTAACCTGTCTTTAAAGCAATACAGTTTTAATGAATTTTCTCATTTTAAAAGTGAGAAACAATTTATATTCTCTTCTCTGCTAAGTGGAAAAGTAGACTAAATGAACTTTCTTTTAATCCTAGAATGAAAGGCTGCTCAATGCAATATGTATGAAATTATGTAAAGATATGTACATATATATTTTATTTAAAGTGATACGCTGTTTTTAATCCCCCATAGTTAAGAATGGTTGTTCTGAGTTGTATTTTTTACCCAATGGCAGCCAAAAGCCCTTAGATATAATCTGCTAATGTAGAGAGGAACAGAAGATGCTAATCTCTTTTATTCTGAAGATATATTTGATCAGATTTTGTTGACCTATGGGATGAAGGAAAAAAAGAGGAAATAGGAATTCCTTTTTAAAAGCCATTAACCAAATTCTATCATGTGTAGTTATTTGCTAAATTAAGGGTAAAATTGTATGGTAAATACAAGATGATTGTACAGTACTACTTGGCTTTGCTTTATCAGATGTATATCTGAAGATTATCAGCAAAGTGAATTTATATGTATTAATATAAATAAGTCACATTCATTTAAGATGTTCTTAATAAAATACTAAACTTTCTATCACACATTTTAGTTTTAGCAACTTTTTAAAAATTTTACAATTATTATAGATTCTCAAAATACATATAGTGAGATCCCATACATCATTTACTCAGCCTTCCCAGGGTTAACTATGTGCATAACTACAGTACAAAATCAAAACCAGAAAATAGACATTAGTAAAATCCACTGGGCTTGTGTGTGTATGTGTGTGTAGCTCTATGCAAGTTATCACATATGTAGCTTCATGTAACTACCACAACAATCAAAATATATAACTGTATTATCACCACAATGCTTTCTCCTGCCCTTCATGGCCATATCCCTCTCTCCCATTCCCCAGCTCTGGCCACCACTTATCTATTCTTCATGTCTATAATAATGTCATTTCAAGAATGTTATATAAGTGAATCACACAGTATGCATCCCTTTGAAATTGTCTTTTTCACTCAGCATAGAGCCCTTAAAGTTCATCCAAGTTGTGTGTATCAATAATTTGTTCCTTTTTATTGCTGAGTAATGAAATCAACCTTGCTGATACCTTATTCTTGAATTCTAGCCTCTAGAACTGTGAGAAAATAAATTTCTGTTGTTTAAACCACATAATCTGTGGCATTTGTTACAGCATAAGAATAGTTTTATCTTTATAAATTTGTCTCATATATATTTGTGCCCATATACAACAATACTTTCTGCTATGAGACAATCATTTGTGTGTCCACATAATTTATGAATGCTTCTCAATGGGAGTTTTTAAAATCTCTGGTGATTTTCCTGTATCATGTACTGCAGTAAATTGTGTTATGAGGGAGTTAAAGAGAATATATACTTATAAAAATCACAGGGGTATTCATGCCTAACTATGTTGCAGTAAAAATCTATACTGTTATGAAGGGAACATTTAACTGAAAGCAACTGGATTTTTTAAAAAGACCATTCAACCACTTTTTACAAATGGTGCCTAACAACAACATTTGGATACATTTCTGGATATATTTTGCCATTTCTTTTCAGAGTGGATCACAGTTAAACATGTCGACTGCAGTGTTTTTACAACATAGATATGAATTATAATTAACATGAATTCTTACTATTTGTTTTATTTGATATGGAAAATAAATGGCAGCATAAGCGGAGTAACTAAATTTCAATTCACTTAGCAACATTTTTTTTTTATATCTGACGTTTGTTGGTAAGTGATATGGACTTGCTCATTAAATTGTACCTGTATAGGATTATATCAAAAGCAATGCATAAACATTGGAGAGAAGCATTATATCTAATTAACCTTACTAATAAGAAGTAATATAAAAAATATCTTTCTGGACCTTAGAAAATAGTAAGAAAAACAACCAGAAGATCACCTCTTTAGTGTATAGAGTATACAACTGCACCTCAGAGAATATAGGTCCACCAGGGATATTATGCATCTGAAGGGAGTTACGAATTTGTTTAGAGAAAACAGCAGTGGAACTTACCAACTTGATCCGTGGTCACTGTAATAGCTGTGAATGGCTTGGGAGAAAAACTCAACTCAGAAACTCCATTCATGGCTTCTATTTCAAAGGTGTAATTCACGTGAGACACAAAGTCAAGTACTATCACAGAATTGTTGATCAGGCCAGAATGTCTTGGGATGAAGCGGAGTCCTCCACCACAGTCCTCACACTGGCTGGTGTCTAAGCCACATTTCTTACAGATTACACTGTATGTGAGATCTTTTCTCCCTCCTGTGTCACTTGGTGGGCTCCATTCCAAAATAAGGGCCGTTTCATTGATGTTAAAAGCCACATTCCTAGGAGCTGAAGGTGGCCCTAGAGAAAAGCAATTAAAAAAACAAATGTACATGTGTAGGACAATGAATTAGGGGGCTAACTTGAAAACTTCATCAATAAACATTTGTTTTGTTTATTAGTTTGAACTCTTCTAATGGGAACCATAAGGAAATATGGTTAAAAACATCTGATTAAGCCTACTAAGAAAGGTGTCTGGGGGGGTAAGATGGTCTATATCTTAACTTTTTGGTATATTAATATGAATATTTAATATCAAAAGTCAAAAATCTCCAAAAGATATAGTAATTATACTTTGAAAATTTGCTTACTGGAATATATCATAAGCAAACATTGTTTTAAATTATGTGATGGTTTTAATTACATTTTAATAATTATATCACCATTTTCAAAATTTGAAAAAAATACTAACATACATATACAAAAACACAATATGTTTCTTAATATTTTTCCCATATGGATCACACTGTATAGAGTACTTAATATCCTTTAACTACTCCAGTCTTTTCTTAAAATTGTGTCAATAATCTTTTATAGTTATGTGAGTACTTCAAACCCCAGGTTTGTATCATTCCTTGCATAAACATTAACTGAAGGTCTACTAGGTGTCAGCACCAAACTATGTCTGAAATAATACAGAATCCTTTCTGTAAGAGACTATGCTTTTGATAGATTGATTGCATAAATAAAATAAAATAACATTCCTGTCGTATTTTAGAACAATTAGTTTTAATAACTCTAAAACAATTCTTTAAATTTCTGCTATCAAGAAAATTTGCTTAGAAGATGGGATAGAATTATTTTCAACATTCTTTCCATAGAGAGAAATTCAGTTTTGGTATAGGGTCTTTATAGATCTCAAGATATAGTCATTCACTCATGAAATAAATTTTTTTTTAAGTGACGACTATGTGTGCCAGATAACCTGCTAGATCTTGGACTTACAGTGTGAATGTAACAGACAAATTCTTACTTTGTTATATACATTTAAGTTGAATGGCAGGCAAATAAACACATTAAATAGAAGAATAAAATTCAAATTATAATAAGTAGTTGTGCAAAAATCAAAAGGAAAGGAGATGAAATAAACATTAACAGGAGGACCAGGGGCACCTGGGCGGCTCAGTCAGTTGAGTCTGACTCTTGGCTTCGGCTCAGGTCATGATCTCAGGGTCATGGGATTGAGCCCCACATCGGGCTCCACTTTCAGTGTGGAGTCTGCTTGTTCCTCTCCCCCCTGCTCCTGCCCCCACTCACGTGCTCTTTCTCTCTCTCTCTCAAAATAAATGAAAATAAATAAATAAATAAATAAAATTAAAAAAAAAAAACATTATCAGGAGGACCCATCTGAGAAACACCCTGAGAAAGCCTCATGGAGGTGGTGAGGAAGAGGAGGTCAGAGGAGTGAGAAGAGTATTAAGGGTAGAAGGCTCTTTAGTCAAGAAAGATCTTAAAATAGTCAAGGAACTGGCAGATAATCACTGTGGCTAGAATGCCAAAGGAAAAAGTAAGAAGTGAGTTTTAAGGAAGAGGAAGGGGTGGGAAAGTGCAAGACTCCTAGACTCATCGTAATGACTCTGGATATTTTTCTATGTACAACAGGAACAGGCTTAGAGATTTTATATATGGAGGTAATGTGTTTTAAAAAGAACATTCTGCTTTAGGGAATAGTAGAGGGGACTCATTAGTAAGATCTGTTATACAGTGTTAGAGTAGCATACCTTACTCATAAATTTACATGACTATGTATTGGGTTTGATATATTAAGAACTGTTATTTTATATTTTCCTTTTTTTTAAAGATTTTATTTATTTATTTGAGAGATAGAGAGCACGAGAGGGAAGAGGGTCAGAGGAAGAAGCAGACTCCCTGCTGAGCAGGGAGCCCGATGTGGGACTCGATCCCGGGACTCCAGGATCATGACCTGAGCCGAAGGCAGTCGCTTAACCAACTGAGCCACCCAGGTGCCCCTATTTTCCTTTTTCTTTTTGCTGGATCCTGGTAACAGCAACCTGATGGGTAGGGGCCTCAGTCATCTGTATGTATATTACCTAAAGCCTGACCTAGAAATGGGATGGTTAGCTTTTCTAACAGGTTTCTGCATACTTTGCTTCATGCCATTTCATGTTTCAGAGAGTTACAGAAGCATCTTTCTTCAGAAGGGAAAAGATGGAAGGCATTATAAGTTAGAGCACAGGGACATGTGTAGCTTTTTACCTCCAACCCAGACTTATGTCTGGGAGATGAAGATATACATTATCATTATCATAATAAGGTCTTCCTACAGAATGACATATTCATATTGTTGCTCTTTTCTCTTATTTATAAAGGAAAACATGAATTATTATTCACTTATATTTTCATGAATAGGAAGAATGTTATCAATTATGTTATGGGTGTCTGCAACTATATAACTGTCGGCCTGGAGATACTTAAAAAAAAAAGACAGACACCCTTCTTACTCAAGGGCCCTCATACCAATTTGCATGACGATTAAATAGCTTTTTAATTGCTGTTAAATTATGCCAGCTAAACTGTGATTTCATGCAAATATTAAGCTGTAATGACATGCAGTGAATCATTTACTAAGATTTAGAACTTGGAACAAAGAGAGACAATTAATTCTAATCCTCAGATTCAACTAAATTATGTGTCACTGGGTTTTTATGAATGTGGCCTGATTGCTTTGTTATCATTTATAAATTATACAAAGATTATGTGACATTGGGAAAAAAAACTTGGCAGCAATAACCCTTTTGGAGACATCTGTATTGAAACTTTTAGGGATTTCCTTACGTTGATTTTTTTTTCTTTAAAGGAAACAAGTAATTCACATAGAAGAAAAACAATCTCCACACTTCACCCTCCAGATTGACTTCATAAGAGAAGGGTCATTATTCTGATTTGCAACTAGATGTTTTTCAAGTCCATCATATAATAAACCTTACATTAAAACTACAATTTTATTTCTACTAGTGTATTTAGAAAATAAATCTTTAATCTTCTTTTTATTTTTTGCTTCACTTTGCATTCCCCCTTTACTTTTAAAGAATAAAGGAATAGTGCTGCAATAGCAAACTTATGAGAAGCTGGGGACAGTGCTGTTTTTTCTCTTCAGAAAAGCATCTGAGCCAGCAGCCCCCATCTTCCTCTGAGTAACAGAGGCCAGGTGGGCTACAATTTTTATTTTGTTTTATTTCATTTTATGTAAAGTATTTTTAAATAAACTGCATTTCCCAAAATATATCCTGTGCCGTATCTCTAGTCCCATGAGCTATCATACAAAAAATGAGCTTGGTACTCCAGTTAAGACTCCTCTGGCCGACTGACCCTGGAACAAAAGTAACACAATTTGCTTCTCTTTGTTGAATCCAAAATTCCCAAACATTTGTTTATAGAACCTTATTTTCCAAGAAGCATCTATAGGAATACTAGCATCCTGCAGAACACTCTTACAGGCTGACACAGAAGGAGAGCAAACTTAAGGACATTTCAGTTACTACCTCAATTGCTCCAGATTTATATTTCATGATTATAATTGTAGAAATATGCTACAAATAAATAGGGGTCTTATTCATACTGACTGGAGACTGATTATCCACCTACTGTATAGCTAATTACGTTTGCAGATGCATTTTCTAACATTAAGAACAATGAAAATTTGATCCAAATAACTGAGGATATCAAGTCATGGAAGGCTACTGTTTACTAAGCTATATTTTATCAGTTAAGTTACTACTTGGCAAAAATTTAAATGTGTTTGTTAATTTAATGACTATGATAAATATATTAGCATAGTTTCCTAATAAAAAGGAAATTTCTTCTTATTTATGAGTTTACAAATGAGAGAAAAATAGTTCTATGTTGATCTATGCCAAAGAGAACATTTAAAAAATATATTGAACCGGGTGCCTGGGTGGCTCGGTTGGTTGAGCGGCTGCCTTCGGCTCAGGTCATGATCCTGGAGTCCCGGGATCGAGTCCCACATCGGGCTTCCTGCTCGGCGGGGAGTCTGCTTCTCCCTCTGACCCTCTTCCCTCTCGTGCTTTCTATCTGTCATTCTCTTTTTCTCAAATAAATAAAATCTTTAAAAAAAATATATATATTGAACCAACTAGAGAAATTTAGGTAAATGTTTTTGCAATGAGTAAATTTTAAAATTTGCTGAAGAAAGATAAACATATAGGAATAAATGAAAAAGTACATCTCTAGATTTTAATGATGTACTAAAAATATAGGTTGTCAGATTTGCATATGGGCATAATTTAAAACTCTAAAAGTCATCTCAGTTTTTGAATTATCACTATTAACTTTAACTTTTATCTATAGTTATATTTTAATCTAATGTCCATCCCAAATGAGCTTTGAAAAATATATTTAATAGGAGTAACTGCAAGCAGAGTTTTGTATTTTCCTTCTCTAAGCCAGTTTGTGCTCTAAGTTTTGTTCATAAAATGTTTGTATATTTGGAAATGGATGATGAGTAATCACAAAAGTGGAGCTTCAACCTCACCAGAGGGAAGATAAACCAGTTTAGTCAGATAAGGAAATGAGGCCCAGGAAAGTATTGCAATTACGTGAAGGTAACATGCTGTATTCATGGTCAGATGATACCTAGGTCTTCTTTTTCTTTTTTTTAAAGATTTTATTTATTTATTTGAGAAAGAGAGAATGAGAGATAGCATGAGAGGGAAGAGGGTCAGAGGGAGAAGCAGACTCTCTGCTGAGCAGGGAGCCTGATGCGGGACTCAATCCCGGGACTCCAGGATCATGACCTGAGCTGAAGGCAGTCGCTTAACCAACTGAGCCACCCAGGCGCCTGATATCTAGGTCTTCTTATGTTTAGAATTTTTTAACTCTATGTGTAGTCTTCCTATGGATAACAAAAAAAAATGTCTGGTAAATAAATATTTAAAGTATTTTATAGGCCCTTGCTTAGAGTATTGTCAAATACAAACTTTCAAAACATACAAATTGAGAAATTTATTGCTTTCCAATGACAGATTCTTTTTAATAATGTT